ACCAGGGAATAGCCTGCACATCAGCTCGCAGCAGGCACGCACATCAGAGCGTTCACGCATTCCCTTCCAGGTGTTGTGGGCACCCACTGGAATGCCACTTTTTGCCGGGTCCCGTGGACAGATCACCGATGCTTCCTCCTCAACCCTGTCCACGATGCGGTCGTAGTCGCACAACTATATAGCACTCAATAAAGCCAGATATATTTACGGGAATGAAATTTATTCATATTTTCTCTGCTGTAACAAATCATTTTGTACAAACATTAAACAAACAGTGCCGACGGATGGATGACACGACGATATGAATGTGTGCACCTATGTGAACTACTCACAAAAAGACCATGAATACAACAAATATTTGGGAGGAGAAAATAGATAGATAGATCCTGAACAAATAGTTCCCTAGTCGAACACAAACAAAGAAAAATAATTGAAATGGTCGCAAATGGGGTGTTTCTTGGATTTTCGGCGAAAGAGAACAAAATTGAGCAAATGTGAAAAAAGCCTATAATCAAGAGGGGGAATCGCAAGAGGGAGCGATAGACTTAAAGGCAACGAATGTGCTGGCAGTGAAAGGAGTTCTCGATGTCTCACAATCGCGATCAGTGAAATGACCGTGGAGTACGATTACATTCATCGTAGTCACAAGTCCGAGAACTGAACACGAACGGAATATTGTGTGCGGTCGGAGACAGCTCGTATAAAAAGGGGTGAAATTCGAATACATTGGCAGATTATGGTGAACCCGTGGACGACCCTAGTGTAATTGAACAATGAAAGGCAGAAGTCGATCGATCGGCCGCGCTCGGACCTGTCAGCATCCTAGCAGGGCAGACATCCAGCAGCACTACGCCAGAGGTACCGTAGTATCATAGATTGAAGGCGCTCGAGCGATGATCACAATCGTACCGAACGCACAAGCGAACGTGAACAGCAACAGAAATACCCGATCCATCACCACTGAGACATACTTCCAATCTTCGATGACCTAAAAAAAGGTAAAAAATAAAGCAGAGCAGCTATGAGGAAGGATTATTTTACCAGCCTTCAAGAATTCTAGTACTTCATGTATTTTTTGTGGTGGAAATTTTCTTCAAATACCTATTTTACAACAAAAGTGCAGACGAAGGTAGAGCACTACCTAGACGTGCCGCATGACCGTATCACTCCCATCCCGAGTCACCCATTAGCCCGATGTCAGACTTTGCGAATCGCGCGATTCGCAAAGTCTGACATCGGCCTGATGCTGTGAAAATTACTGATTTCCTTCCATTATCACCTCAGACAGACTCAATCGCTCACCTGCTTATCATCTTCTTCATTTTTGAGGTGATCTGCTATGTACGCCACGCTTTCCACGGCAGATCGCACAGGAGAAACATCTCTGAAAATTCTGATCGGCTTATGACTAAGAGGTAGAAAAACACGACTATCGGCCTATAATTTGTATTGAAGTACAATCTCACAATCATTATTAAAAAGAAAGCTCTGGTATAGAAAACCAATATTTCGAGAAGGACGCGCGTTCATGCTTCTTTGGCCGTGTGGGACTTGCGCGATTCAGCGAGCGCGACCACCTCACCTTACTTAGGTAGATTTTGTAAAAAAACGCAAGAACTTCAGTCGAAGCACTAGACTATTTGATCTTGTGTTGATTCACCAGAGAGCCAGACAAGGCACAAATTCATTAGCATAGTGATAGCTGAGATTCTGTCTTCGCGAGAATTGCGAAGTTGAGAAATTTATAACAATTCCGATGCGCTTTACAATTTGTTGGGTTTCTATAGAAATTCCCGGAGTGTCAACACAAAAAGGAGTATGTGATCGATGTGATTCACGGAAGTATATCGAAGTATTCACACCATCGCTTCAATGCTTTCTCGCGGTCCGTCAGAAGGTGACCATTCGCATCATTTATGCCGAAGAACTTTTCTATATCCTCGGTCTGGCGATAGCGGGTCTTTGCGAGTCGGTAAATGTACCGTTCACCATCGCGCGACTCGAGTTTCTCATTGAGATCGGCAAAATGAGCTGCTTTCGCAGAAGCAACGGCCTTCTTTGCCTCTTTCTTCGCTATCTGATAGCGCTGCCAGCAACCGGCTGTCTTCTCCGAAAGAAAAGCGTGGTAGCGCTTTTTCTTCTCTCTTACTTTCTCTCTAACTTGATCCGTCCACAGCCATGTTTGCTTATCAACCTTTCTCCGTCCAGGCTTCGTCATGCCGAGCTCGGATCGCGCAACCTGGGTGATCGCTTCGGCAGCACCTTTCCAAGTTTCGTCGACAGTCGTTACCGCTGGCAATCGAATGCGGGAAACGACGGCCGCTTCTTTCTCCTTCAGTCGCCACCACTTGATTCTCGCTGGCCCACATCTTTCGGCTAGTTTCGGTCTCGGTGGGGCGATTTTTAGCGTACAAATCAATGGTCGGTGTTGTGTGACGACCGTTTCATAAGGTACTACTTTTGCGTCCGTTACGAGCCCTTGATCACGGTGCCTAACAAGGACGAAATCGATTTGTGTTCTGGTTTTACCGCTATAGAATGTGATAAGATGTGAGTCACGTTTTCGAAATTTCGTGTTTACTATGGCGAGATTATGCGAGTCTGCATATTCAAGAATTCGTTCGCCATCAGTATTACGTGACCCATAACCAAAACCACCATGACAGCTATAACCGTCTTTCGTAGCGCCCACGTGGCCATTGAGGTCACCGGCAACAATTATGGCTTCTTGTGACGGTACCTCAGCTGTCTTCTCATCAAGCAGGTTCCAGAACTTGTCCTTGTTTTGCTCGGAGCATCCAGTCTGCGGAGCGTACGCAGAGAAGAAATGGTATTTTTGATGTTCCATGACGACAACGATCTTCATTAAACGGTCGTCGAAGCGCTCCACACTTACTATCGAATCACGAAAGCGTTCAGAGACAATCATCCCGACGCCATTGGTGGTTCTGGGACCGCCACATAGAACGGCCTTTGAAGCCGCGGCCAATGTCCCTCGACTTGCAGCAGGACCACCTCGTTTCCTGCACGGCACAGAAATCAATTCTTCGGCGCTCCAGAGCTTCTGCTAACTCGTGCGAGCGTCCCGTTAACGTGCCAACATTTAACGTCGCAACGCGAGTCTTCCATACGTTGCGGGACTTTTGGACTAGCCTAGTTGCCCCCCGATGCCGTCCTTGCACCGGAGACCCTCGCATACTTTTCACACTCGCCGGGCTTTGCGAGTGCGCGTCGGCTCCCGCGGACGCCGTAGCATTATCTCGAGATACTTGTAGCGACATTGACATTTGTGATGTGACGTGGGTGTTCGTAGGCCGGCCTGTCACGGGGGCCTGTCGCCTGCATTCGAATGTCCGTGGTCGGCTCACGCCCTCCCGACCCAAACCTGAGATCAGCCTTCCACGTGCACCACCCCCTTGCGCCAGCACCCCGGACACCCCACACACCTATTATATTTGAAACCCTGATTACGAATATGACATTCGTTTTTGGCGTTAACGTTGTTTAGTGCACATGTCTCGGTTGGAGAGCGCAGACGAGCAGAAAATAGGCGTCAAACAGCGCCAGCGCCTATAATGAATGTCATATTCGTAATCAGGGTCCCAAATAACCCCTGTACTGAAGTTTACACCGATTTTGACGAAAACAAGGGTCGTGACAAGGTGGCGCCAACTGGCGCCAGATGGCGCCAGCGCTGAAAATGAAAGTCATTTTCGTGATCAGGGCATCGACTTACCTCTATAGGCAAATTTGCGGTGGTTTCTAAGGTGTACAAAGTTACACTGCACGAGCGGGGGTGGTTTTACGTGAAATCGGCGCGGGCTTATACACCGGAAATTAGGGTAACGGAGAGAGAATCAGTGATTAGTTCTGTGTTTACTATAGGTTGCATGTCAAAGATTCCTTCAATAATATTCATGAACATAATAGATATTGATTATTGATTAGGTTTCACCGTTACTGTATAAATATCATGTTTACTTAGCTTTGATAATGCTATGTGCCATTAGATCCTCCTCGAACCTGGGAATTGATGATTATCCGTAAGGACGGTACTGTTCCGCTATCAGGCCGACGTCATACTTTGCGAATCGAGCGAATCGCTAGCGAATCGCTCGAGTCGAGCGAATCGCTAGCGAATCGCTCGAATCGCTAGCGAATCGAGCGAATCGCTAGCGAATCGCTCGAGTCGCGCGAATCGCTAGCGAATCGAACGATGCACCAGCGATTCGAACTGGGTACCAGCGAATCGAACTAGGTACCAGCGAATCTTGCATAAAGCTTGAAACTAGGGTGTTAGGCTAGGTTTTGAGTGAGTGTGTGGTTGCCGCCGGACAAAGAGCCTTTGGTGAGGCCACACAACCTCCGAATTTCGCGTTTTACTCCCCTATTTCGTCCACTATAGGTACTCGTTGACTGGTTTATACAAGGAGTAATTAAATTATTCGATCATGTCAGTCAATATCTAACACCGTTGGGCTTCATTCAAATTCAAATGGACTACAGTGCCGCGGCAGTAATCTTTGTACATCGGCGTCTTTGATTGATCTTAATTGATAGAGGATACAGGAAAGCTCACTGATAAGGACTTTTTCATATGATGAGGGGCATCTCGGAAATGTTTGCCTTCAAGTATCTGCGCCAAAAAATAGAAACTTGACGGCCAAGTTCAGGTTCCTATCATGTAGTTCAGAAACTCCACTGCGTATCATGAGCAAACCGTCCTTTCCTAGCGAAAAATGCCCAAATTAGCCTACCGTCTTTTTTTTTCGCTCGAGTGCCAACTCGTTCAACGCTTAAAACTTACAATGTTCTCTCTGTGTTTGCATTAATGAGACCTTCCATGAACATTCTCAGTTTTCCTTCTGACATCCCCTCTGAATGGAAACCGTCCATTTCACACAGTTCAAACTTTTACAGCTATTGTGGGGACTGATCGCAACTATAATCATTTATGGGGTACGTCAAATTCTTGAAAGCTTCACATGAGTCTTATGCTTATTACCATTGAATGTTGCTACGTACGCTCCCAACTAGTCGCACCAGCGAGGGGAGAGGGATTGGGCGAGGTCACTTCACGGAGTTGAATGCTTTGACAGCATAATGCAAGCACGTTAGGAACTGGAGCGATGCTTCACCAACAAATGACATTCCATCAACTGCCTCCCACAAAAGCTTTGTTTGACTGTGTTATGACAAACATACACCATGCCACATCTCATATTTGACTTTTTTAAGAACCAAGTTCCGCTATCAAGACTACATCACGGGTAAATCGCTATATACGAAGCAACACCACACTAACTCTACGTTTTGGCCAAACGCTTTCAACACATTTTATAGGTCGACCGAGTCCGAAGCACACTGTAGCTTGAACATGAGCGCAATCGAAAGCACTTAAGTTACAGTTCATGCTATTGGCCGCAGATACTACTTGTTTTTCATAATATCTCACACAAAAAGAATTCGAATATTAGACTGTCGAAAATTGGTGCTCAAAGCAACACCTCCAGATCGATTTGGCGAGGTAAAAGCGGTCGATAATGAAAATGCGGATGCCGAGTTTACTGCAAATGAGAAAAGAAACAAAGAAAATCGCCGATGAAGCCCTCAAACGAAGACTCCCCCTCTTCCACTTCAGGCCGATGTCTTTGCAAATGAGCGATTCGCTGGCGAAGGAGAGGTGTGGCCAGACGAGCTGTCCGAAATAGTTTGCTTTGCCGGCATTTATTGCTGGTTCCTTCCAGCAAGAAATGCATATCAAGAATCGCATATGCACCAATGCAAACCAAGACACCTGCTGGGCTAGCGATTGGGTGGATCAGACGAAAAGGCTGACGTGTTGGCACATATCCTAGTCCTTTACAGCGTCTTACCGACCTTTTTTTTTCTTGGGGTCTTTCTATGTTCTCAACAAGGCCTCACGCATCATGTTATTTCATCAATACTAATACTAATACAAAAGTACAAGCTAAGAACACTGCTGTAAAGCGGACAACCTCAAACAATACGAATTTTTACAAATCACTCGCTAACATCTAAATAGTTTGCATTACTAAGGCTAAGCTCTAATGATTCATCTATTTCAGCTCTTGTTGATACCCTACACGAAGTCTTCCCTAACAGATTGGGCAGGCAGCCAAGAACGAGCCCAAAGTACTATTCATTTTCCTTCATCATCCAGTTCTTGAGCACACATGCAACTATCTACAGACCCGACCAACTTCTGTAGAACCCCGAAGGCGGCTATAACCCCTATACACGATCTTATTATTAGTCATGGTTGAAAAAGCGCTTTTTATCAAAATTTAGACAGACCATTAGACCAGTTCATGTGTAGTCCTTTACAATACTACATTATTACGACCCTAGCGGGAGAAGGAGCAAGTAGTAAAAAGCCACCACGTGACGTGACGCCGCTGCGGATTTGCGAAACAGCTTTTTCCATCGAATTGTGATGGTAACGACTCCAAAAATGAAGTTATATTCGTAATGATAACCGCTATGACTCGTATTGGATAAGTTTTAAGGCGATACTGCTGCTCTTCGTGAGATAGCATTGCCGCAGCAATATCGAATCTGCTGATCCAATAACCCCCTCAAAACTGCATAGCATTGCCGAAATTTTGCTGTGCCTAACACCCTAGTTTCAAGCTTTATGCAAGATTCGCTGGTACCTAGTTCGATTCGCTGGCACCTAGTTCGAATCGCTGGTGCATCGTTCGATTCGCTAGCGATTCGCTCGACTCGAGCGATTCGCTAGCGATTCGCTCGATTCGCTAGCGATTCGCTCGATTCGCAAAGTATGACGTCGGCCTAAACTTTACTTAATCTTACAAACCAAGGGAATAATTCCTATGAAGTTGTTAGGGAGGAGAAGAAAAGGCGAAAGTTGGAGGGTGAACCTAATGTCGACTTAGTCCACATTCGCCGTATGTCATATATTACCTATAGCTGCGATTTCTTTTGCTACTTGTAACCACGATAAATCCTGGAGAAAAACTCGGGTACAGTATCCGTCCGCACAACGTGTCCTTTTAGAACGTTCACTATCGTTCTCCGACGACTCACAATATGCCGGAGTGTGTACGACGGTTTTTTATTGAGATTCTTCCGAAGTATCTTCTGATGAAACGACCGCTCGACCACACCATCATAAGGTCTGTACCAGACTTGATTGTTTGACTCTGTGGAAGTTGAGTGATTTCCCATTTTTTCAGAAGAAAGAACCGCGAACGACGTTCAGCACACCTCAGAGCAATAACCAGTTCGCCAGCGGAATGTCCGAACACGTTCGTTTTTAGAAAGGGATATTCTCTGCTCCGATTCTACGAAGCAGCACTGCCTTTTCTTTACAGAATCTCGGTCTCCTTTCGCCGACTACGTTTCGAACTTCGTTTGCAGCGGGATCTGCCGAGGACACCTCATACTCATCACTCCAACGGTATCATTTCAATTCGCTTTTCTCGGATAACCCTAGCTTGTGTCGTTCCTCACTGATCGTGAGTGCACTGAACGCTATGTGTATTTCCTTTTGTTCCACTACACTTTATGGGTTTGATGGGCAGGTATGGTAAGATTGGCGAAGGATGTGAGATCATTGTCATAGAGAAGCGCAAGCAACTCCAAGGAGGGGCCTGTAACGAGACCCGAACATAGTACTAGTGACCCCCATTAGTGTTAGCTCCCAATTTGCATTTTACTGTCTGTTTTGCCTCGTCATGTGCGTGTAACCAAATTTGGCAATTTTACTGCGGCCATGTACAGTTCTTGAGAA